TATATATATATATATAGGGGGGGCAAGCTATTTTTACATGAATTTTCTTCTATTTCACACCCTAAAAAAGCGAGAGAAAATTGTGAGCTTGAAATTTTTTCTTTGTGACATACTTCTTTCTTTGTGAGCATGAAATTTTTACTTTGTGACAAGTGACAAAATACTGAATGGCTCAGATAAATCCGAGCCAGTTATTCAGATAATCCAGTACGAAGGACAACAAATAATAAAAAATGGACAAATAAATATTAGTTTTATTAATTGTGTCGTCATATGCTTGTCAGTTTCTGTGTATGATTTCGTAGTATAGTTCAGAACTGATTCACTAATTATTTTCTTTTTCACTCAATCCGTACGAAAATCGGGCATTGAACTAGTTTTTCATAAAGTTTCATCTGCAAGCAACAAGAAATTCCATCTCCTTAACAATATGATCTGGAATGCCTATTTTTTTATGGGAATTTGTCAGAAATCGCTTATTAATTGTACATTTAAACGTGTTTGGCTGCATTGATATCTATCTTTAATTTACTGACATTTAAGTAGATAGTCTATCTCCTTTTATTAAACAAATATGCTTAGAAAATAGCTTTATAGCACACTAAATATAATGAATTTCAATCATGGTTTTTGTGTTTTAGGACTGCTATAATGAATGCCAATTAAATACTAGCTTAAAAATATATGGTTGTCTAAATTCTGCGTTGAGACCATATTCAATGGAAAGCAACACCTGTGCTATGGATTCCTTTAGTATGTAAAAAATTAGAATTTAAGCTATTTTTTATTATCTTTCTTGTGTATACTATTACTATAATTTTGATAACAAAGAATTAGCATATTGAACTTTGAACCGTTACTTATCATTAACTTGTTACTTTGTCAGTTTTAAACTTCCATGGAAAAATGAGATGATTATTAAGTATATTTTAGTTGAATTCTTCCACTAATGAGATTAAAACCTTTTAGCTTAAGTTACCCTGACAATCATGGTAAACCTGCATACTTGGTATTTTTTTTATCCTTTAAAAAATCTATTTTAAAACTCAACTTTACGGAAATTTTTCTTACAGTGGTGTAAAATGAGTGAATGAAGACCATAAAGAATTTTAAAAAATTACTTTTTGTTATCTTTTTCATATGATTATATTAAGATATATTTATCAACATGAATCATTTTTCTCAGAAATCATTTAACGGGTCCACTAAACGAATAAGAACTTTTACTCCATTAATTTTGTCTTTTTGTTTATATCAATGCCCATATATTACCTAAATTAATTAAGAATCATTGAAGTCAATGATAGTATGGCGATTTTTTATGGTTCTCCGAGCTGATTAGCAGCACTTAATAGCATTTTAAGTTTCCAAGATGAATTGTTAAATTACTTGGGAAGTTAATGTTTGTGATTTTAGTTCGATTATTGCTTAATAAATAATTTTCTTACATCACCAATAAATAGAAATTTTTCTGAAAATCAGCGTCAATAATTAGTGGTCTAACATGATCAACGACAAAGCGCTCAGTGTAAGGTCGGTGCCGATTAAAATCCAGAGTTAAAAGTTTTATTCCGAAAGTTAAAATTTTAGTACCATTTGCTGCGAATCAGACTAAATCATCAGAAACTTATGTCTGAGATGCGTTACGCTTTTGCAGGAATGACAAATCAGCACTTGTGCCAATAAACAGATTTAAATTGCATTTTTTGATCGGCCAATAAGATACTATAAATCTGGCAATCGATATGGCTTATGACATCTATTTGGCAGATTTTTCAGAGTAGCGGCAAGGAGGAGTACATTTCTTGCTCAGATTCCGAAATTCGTATGATAAAAACAATATCCATTCTCGTGATTTTTTTTCATTTCTTCACGCCCTGAAATTTATACTACAATTACGAGATTGCCTTAGTTCCCTGTTTAGATTGCAAGACTCTTACTTTAAGACGAAAGTTGCTAATTTAGCTGAGAAACTTGCATTTCGAGCGAAGATGTTTTGTCAGCGTCGACAGTGTTAACATGCTGGTATCGGTAAGGTCATCTATTTTGTCAGTGATATCCGAATCGTCAGTGAGAGCTGCCAATAATGTTAGGACATGGAGATTCTCAAGCCGCAAATATTTTAAAAGAGGAGTGCCCACGTTACCGCCTGCTAATCTCTTCATGTGAGTTGGGAAGAACACCTATTTCCTGCCCTTGCAAGACCATTCTGATTTTTGATTCTTCACTCACTGAGTACAATTCAATGAATCATCTTTTATTAGAGTTTTGTTTGTATTTGTTAGCCTTGAGACAATATCACTATTTCAGTTTAGGACATTGGAGAAAACGATTGAATTTTTTGTCATCGTTTGATATTTTTTCTAAAGTGCTTCGAGTCTGGTAAACTACAAGGCAGGGTTTGATTTCCAAAACCATGTGTCGAAAGCTAAACGAAAAAGAGAAAAAGCTAGTAGTAAAGCCATTTCAGTTTTAGCTTGTTTTCGGGTGGAGTAAATCTACTCTCTTCTTCAAGTTGTTCAAGAATATCCACTTTTTCTCAAGAGAGAAACAGTTTTATATACTATATTCTATAATTGTAAATAAAAATTTTATTTCAAAAATCTCGATGGTTGCAGAGATTTAATGTTTCTTGAAAAAAATGGTACCAGTTTTCGATCTTTCAGCCCTGTCTAAAACGGAAACGTTTTTGCTGAAACGTGAGCGATTTGATTTTCTTCGGCAGTTTTATTAGGTATGGTGAAAAACAAAACAATTAAAAGTAATTTATTCAAATAATTAGCAAATTTAGTCAGAGAGGATTAGAAAAGAGAACAACAGCAGAATATACACATGAATATTTATACTACAACAAATTTTGCCATGATTAATTATAGAAAAGATTTTAACATTAATTAACAATGAAAAAGATAAAGACACAGAAGATTTAGTAAACTTTTCAGCGCAATACCCTTAATATAAACTAATGAAAAGACTCACTGAAACAGTTTGCTAATCCATATCCAAGAGTAAATGTAAACCGTATATCCATTAAGCACGTTTTTCCGCATTTTGAGTTTCCGGTCACCAATTTAACATTAACTATAATTTTAATAAGCCGATATATATAAAAATTAAATGACAGTCTGAGTGTGCGTCGTTTATAGACTCGTAAACCAATCGGCCAAAGGTGATGAAATTTGGCGTACAGACAATTCGAAGCACAAGGAAGGTCACTGTTGACATTAAAACATTCTATGACGAACCATTCTAGTGACAAGCGAAATGTGATTTTCTGATTGGTTATGCGTTTGCCATTGTCTTAAATTTTACTGTAGACGATTCGACTTTTAAAACATTTAAAGATGAAATCAGTGACGCTTGCTAGCTTATAGCTTTATTTGATCTTAAAAAGACTTCTTTGTATGGTCATTAATATTACCCATTGGCAAAATGGGTGACGTTTTGGGTTTGACAGCATGTGCACTTATTTGAACGTCATCACACTTCCGACTGTGTTCAAGAGTAATAGTAAACATGCGTCGTCATTGCGTGCGTTGTTATGGCGACCGCAGCTGATTTTCTTTTTCTGTTCACTAGCAGACATTTTAAATGTATTTACATAACAATAACTTAAAGTATTCTTATATTCTTTTTATTATTAGTTTATAATTACTGGTTTGACGGGGATTTCAGTATAAATATGAATACTGAAGAAGGAAAAGTATTTTGTGAAGTCTTGAAACACGGATTTGAAAACCAATCCTACGACAATCATCAATTAAGACAGTTTTTGCAACAAATGATTTAAAATGTTGTGGCGTTTAACGGAGTCAATCCAAAAAGAAAAAGCATTTGCCCAATGGGTAACCCATTTGTCCAATGGGTAAAGCATTTGTCCAATGGGTAACCCATTTGTCCAATGGGTAAAGCATTTGCCCAATGGGTAACCCATTTGTCCAATGGGTTGAGCATTTGTCCAATGGGATCGCAATTAGGCGATCATAACTTTTTCCTTTGTTTTGCTTTGTTTATCTTTTTCAAAATTATTTTCTAATAGGTGAAGCGTTAGTCATTGCAAATACTTTCTATTCTCTATGTCAGATTAATTCAGTGAACAACATTAACGTGTAACGTTCGAAATTACTATTTCGAAAATCTGATACCACCTTTATTTTTCTTATAAAAGAAATTCTTTTGAAATGTGTTTCTTAAAACTTAATATAACATGAAATCAACGGTAATTAAATTGAAAAAAAAAATAGTAATGTATCCAATAGCAAAATAAATGCTACTAATTCATTTCGGAGAAACTTAAAAAATCGCCATTGACGTCAATGATTCTTAATTAATTTAGATAATATATGTACATTGAAATAAGCTAAAAAGCAAAATTAACGGGTTAAATGTTCTTACTCGTTTAATGGAATCGTAAAAAATTGGCATACTGTTATTGAATTCAATGCTGCCTAGTTAACGTTGTTAAATTGAANCTAGACCGATAATCACCCCTTTTAACCACAAATTGAAGTGGAAAGGGGAAAGCATACCTTTTGTCCGACCCTCGACACTTTTCGTGGCATCTTTCTAAAATGTGTCTGCCGCTTGTAGTAAGAAACTAAGAGAGAGGGGAAACGCCAGGAGGGTTAATTAATTTAGATAATATATGTACATTGAAATAAGCTAAAAAGCAAAATTAATGGGTTAAATGTTCTTACTCGTTTTATGGAACCGTAAAAAATTGCCATTCTGTTATTGAATTCAATGCTGCCTAGTTAACGTTGTTAAATTGAAATTAAAAAAAATGACCTAACCACTGAAAAGGAAAGATAATGAAAAAATATACTTATTAATGTTGGGGATATTATTATTCACCATATTATTGATACCAATAACGCTTAGTTAATTTAAGTATCATACATTAATTCTAATAAAAAAAGAAGTCATGTGCTAAAGAGCAAAATTTATAAAAAAAAGGTTAATTGGAAATTCATTTAGGGGAACAATATGCAGATGACAATTAATAATATGTACTACTGGTAATATGGTAATTGGAGAACTATTAATAAGAATTCTGCAATAGGAATGCCGTAGTTTTAGAATATATTTTTCAGTGGTAGCAAAGTTTAGTGTAGTAATATTTTAATGAATTTTAGAATTAAAAGAACTGCTTCCACTACTTTAAATATTTTAAACGGTAAACTAGAAATTGATAAATAAATGGGCATGCTCCAAAGACGGACTTTCAAAAATTCTATTTGTATTTAAAATTTCGGCTTTAGTTTGCTGCCACTGATAAATCCGTTTCGCACAAAACTCAAATTTTGAAGGATTATAAAATATGCAGCAAATGTACTAATTTCGGTATTTAAAATTATATTGATATATTTGGTCATTCTTAAAATTTCACTCTTACTAAGCAATTTTAAAACTGATACTGTAAGAAATATGTGTGTTACGTCTTTTTGAAAGAGATTTGTATGGAACAAAATTTCTTGATAGCGGTAAATTTCGAATATCATGAGTAAGCCGCGATCAATATCATCACTCCAAATGATGCTAAATACAGTGAATCTCTATTCTGATGAGATAACAACAATAAACATGTTTTTCTTACTATAATAACTCTGAGCCTCGATGGCTCAGGGTATAGAGTGCACGCCTTTCAATGAGGTGAACCAGGTTAGAATCTCTGCGATGAATGGTCGCTACGAATTCCGCATCTGGCTTGCACCGACCACAGTGCTTACGTGAAATATTCACAATAGTGGACGGATTATGGGTTAGTGTCCCCTGGCCGTCAGGCCAACAGTGGGAGGTTTTCGTGGTCTTTTTCTTCATGTAACTCAAATACGGGTTAGTTCCATCAAAAAGTCCGCCATGAAGGCAAATTTCGCCCAATACTTGATATAGAAGTTCCCTTATCTTCTAGATTGGGTTCAAAATTACAAGGCTAGGGAGTTGAACATTAGTAGTCATAAACCCAAAATTGGGTCGGCTGTTCAATGACGGTTATAAAATAAGAAATAAAATAAAATAACTTTAGGACCGGGATGGCCTGTAGGGCACTGAGTCCTTGTCCAAGAGGTCGTCGGTTCGATACCGCTGCCCTTAGACTCCCCGTGTATCCTAAGACAATTACACGTTAAAATCTGTCGAGTCACAAGATCCTCCATGTGATGGCAAATCATACCTCTGGGGGTACTGATCCAGGAGTTACCTTGCCTTCTGGATTGGTTCAAAATTACAAGACTAAGGAGTTGAACATAAGTCGTGAACCTAAAATTAGACCAGCTGTTCAAAGACGGTTATAAAATAAAATATAATAACACTTGATCCGCGATGACTCACGAGATAAGGAGCTCGCCTTCCAATGAGGTGAACCGATGCGATGACTGGTTGATACGAATCCGCATCCGGCTTGCACCGATCACAGTGTTAACATGAAATATCCTCAGTGGTAGACGGACCAAGGGTTAAAATTCCTTTGCCGTCATTATAACAGTGGTTTTCACTGTTTTCTCTCCATTTAATGCAAATGCAGGTTAGTTCCATCAAAAAAATCCACGAAAATAAAATTTCTCCCAATACCTGAACGAGGAGTTAATATTATACATATATTTATCGTTATATATATATATGTACACCGAAGAGCCATTACACTAAGACCACCCTGCTAATGACATGTAGGACCACCCTCAAAACTGCTACCACCCGCCGTGGCGTTGATTCCACAAGGTGCTGATTGGTAGTCTGAGGTATCTGGTACCAAGCACTCACCAACTGGTCCTGCAATTCCCTTACAATGCGAGGGGGTAGCGTGGCAGCACGAATTTGGTTTTCCAAGTAAGACCACAAATACTCTATTGGATTAAGGTCAGGTGATTTGGGGGCCAGACTTGAAAGTCACTGGAATGTTCCTCGACGATTCGACCCCTTATGAGATGGTGTATTATCCTGTTGGTAAACACCTTCCCCGGCAGGAGAAACTGTTGCCATGAATGGGTGAACCCAATATATATTGTTGCATGAATGGGTGAACCTGGTCTGCAACTATGTTTAAGTAGCTTACAGACGTCAAAGATTGTTCTATGAGGATTATGGGTCATAATGTGCCTGATGAAAACATTGTTTTATGTATGTATATATATATATATATATAGCAATATAAAATATTTTTTCTCAACATTGGTAGTCGTGAACTCAAATTTGGGTAAGCTGGTCAACGATAGTTCTAAAATATAATGACATAAAGCCACCGGGAAGGGAAACAAATAATAATGAATAAAAAAAATTACTTTATTTTCATTAATCGAAGAGCTTAGTGGAAAAACCAGGTAAATAACATTTTTATTGCGATGAAAATCAGGGTGAGAAAAAATGCAGTCTCCAAACAATTTTAGTATTGATGTATCAAAAGACGAGACTAATAGTTATTTGCCTTATTTTACTTATAACTGCCTAATTTGAAAATAAAAATCACGCAAGCATATTAAGACTAATATGGATTAGTTATGTTAAGATAAAAGTAAAAACAAAAATAATTCTGTTACATTAAATATTCCAGCCGACCTGGTGGCCGTGTGGTTAGCGTGCCTGACTGCTGAGCCGCTGGTCGCGGGTTCGAATCCTGCTCAGGGCATGGATGTTTCTTTCTCTCTGTGTTCTATGTCCTTTCTCCTTTGTGTGTGATTGTGTGAATGTGACCCGCCTTATAAACGGGTTTGTGGTTGTGTGACGTGGGCTGCTCCACCACCGNTTTTACTTATAACTGCCTAATTTGAAAATAAAAATCACGCAAGCATATTAAGACTAATATGGATTAGTTATGTTAAGATAAAAGTAAAAACAAAAATAATTCTGTTACATTAAATATTCCAGTCGACCTGGTGGCCGAGTGGTTAGCGTGCATGACTACGGAGCCGCTGGTCGCGGGTTCGAATCCTGCTCAGGGCATGGATGTTTCTTTCTCTCTGTGTTCTATGTCCTTTCTCCTTTATGTGTGATTGTGTGAATGTGATCCGCCTTATAAACGGGTTTGTGGTTGAGTGACGTGGGCTGCTCCACCCCCGTGGCTTCGCCACAGGTGCCCACGGGGTAACGAGAGGAGAGTAGCAGTTCTGGCATTTCTGTGGCCAATGGGACATCCCCCAAGTGCCCGCCATTAAAAAAAACATTAAATATTCCTATATTGAAGTAACACTTTGTTATTTTCTCTGATTCATAAATGAAACTGAAATTTTAACTTATCTGGTTCTTCCACTATACACTTCTATTGGTTGGAATTTGCCTATTAGTTGTGTGCGTCATCTCATAGTATTAGACAGTAATGAGTTATCGATTTTTTTTATTCGTACCATTCGAAGATCAAGTATTCAGCTAGTAGTGAAGATTAATAATTAATACCAATTAACATTGAAAAGAAGTAATTTAATATTTATAAAACGATCCATTAATAAAATTTCAACCTCGAGCTGTCACCTGTGCAGATGCGAAAGCTGTTGCCCGACGAAGGATATACAACCAGCATTTTAGCAAGGCAACAATCCCCGAACTGCCCAAGAAATCTCTCGTCTACAATAGCTAGCCTAGTAGTGAACATTTCAAGGGCATGAAGATCTCACTCACCCATATTAAATTCTATCCCATCTGCAAGTACTGTCCTCATTTGCAACTAACTCCAGACCATGTTTTTGACTGCCAAATCATTATCGGCTCCCTCTTTCAACTTGGAGCACCTCCCATCGAAATTCTTCATGGCCATCGGGCTCCAGATCTTGCAAACCTTGTTATCAAGACTTTTGGAGGACTCTAATCTTTGCTCTAGCATAGACACGACAACAACACAACATTAATAAAATTGTATTTACTAACTTACGAAATATAAAATGAAATTCGGTGCATCATCACGTACCAGTAATATAACGAGCTGTGGAGGGACAATGTTTATGCCCTACGTCATGACAAGTGACAGTTGTAGTTATTTTCGAAGGATGGAACTGCGCAATATTAAGAGCTGTTATGCTAACTATAAAAGATCATAATCTTACACTGATTTTTATTTATTTTCAGTGATATCTGACAATGGAACCTTTGAAGCATTTGATGGACCCGAATTCAAACTAAAACTTGATGAGTGTGTGAAAAAGAATTGTGGACCTGCTTGTTAGTAAGTTTTATTTGTTAAATTTTTCTAAACAACTAATTTTAACTCTGCGGCAAAGTCCCGATTTTTGATTGATTTTTTTTCCACTTAAGTTTCTTAGCCATTTTCTTTTTTATTTTTAGATTTTAGGCACCTAATAGGTAATTAATTAGACAAACAATGAATTAGTTCACTTCCTTTTGTGGCATTGTAAATTATTATTTTGAGCTTATCTGAAAACTTAATTCTACCAAAAATGTCTGTATTTTTACATTTAAAAGTGCAATATTAATTACATAGCATCGAAATTAAGAATATTTTATTATTTCTTTGAAGTCAGCTCACTTTGACAGAATAGAATCGGCACACAATATATTCAGAACATCAATAAATTATGAGCAAGAGTTAGCAGTGTGTGGCTTATTCCTCAAGGTCCAGCTGCAAGCTAGACCATGTCCAGGAGGTCGTGAATCCGCAAAAAGTCATACAAGAAGAGATGTATTTATATGGTTCTCGCACAAATGCCCCACACATGAGAAGGATATGTTCTGGGGACGCCTGTGCTGACGTGCACTTGATGCACACATGATAAGATTTCTGTCCATCAGTATATATAAGGCTCCCTATATGCCCACTCTTAAGCATGCACACCAATACACTGTCAGTCGATTACAAATCAGCAGTAGTGTAGTTGATAGTTTATTCAAACAAACAGTTGTGTTAGTTCATTAGCAAAGTCATTGCAATACCTATCAAACAAATAAAATATTAAAGACTGTTGCGCACTATATTCCAATTATCACATCAGTATAACAGTATCAGTATAGCGGAATAATAAATTACGGAAACGTCTGAATCACACAATTATTTTTATTTTCTTTACAAAGTAGATTATGCTCTCTCTATCATTTGTATTGTGCTTCATAATTGCACCAATTTTCGAGAAACTGGATAAGACAATTTACTCAATCAATAAAAGTATTTATTCGCTTAAATATCAATAACATCGTACCAAGATTCTAAGCAATGATCATTATTAATTCCGTGCAGTTTCTCATCAACCGTTATCTATGGATCAGAGAAGCGGGCTCCAACCCAGAAATAAGAAAAAATGCAGATTACCTGGGAAAGAAAAATTCTTAGAACTATTTTTGGACCTGTCAGAGAGGGAGAAGGCGATTCAATTTTGAAATTGCAAGACCATTTAAAGAAAAAGATATAATTAATTGTGTGAAAGCAAGGAGAATTCAATGGCTAGGACACCTTGAGAGAATGGAGGAAAACGGAGACACTAAGAAGACATTCAAGGGGCAGTGCCAGGGCCAAAGGAAAAGAGGAATTAAGGTCAAAAGATGGTTTGACGAGGCGGAAAAAGACCTTAAGACTCTAAAAGTCCGAAACTGGAAACAAAGACAGGCGACTTTGGAGGAAAATTGTTAGTGAGGCCATGGTCCAACATGGACTGTAATGCCAGGGAGTTAGTTAGTTAGTTAGTTTCTCATCAGCCATTTTGTGACACAAACACAATTTATCACATCTATCGGATATTAGTACAAAATGATCTAAATTTTCCCTTGATAATAGTTTTTTTGCAGTTCAAAAGATGGTTACAATACACTGGATATTTAGAACATAGTTACAATGCACTGGATAGTCACACAATTACACTGTTTTATACCATTTCTTTAAAACCAACCATTACACGGCACTGCCCGTTGCAGTCCCCAGCGAAGCTCCAACCCTAGCATTTATTAAATTCAAAATATTCAAAATATTACATCGAATGCTAAAATGTAACATAATTTAAAACAACAAAATATAAATCTATTGAACATAATATAAAATTTACTTCCATAACATTTGTGACGTGCTGTCTGTTAACTTCATGTCTGATTGGTGTTAGGCACAGTTTTGATACTGACTATGCAGAAGCTTTGATTTGTATGGAAATCAGAGTCTCCTACCAGAGGCGCAAGCTACGATAAACATTTTTTTCTTCAAATAAATAGAATCAGCATCAAAGAAACAAGCAAAATATTTGGATAAAAAGAAAAATAAATTGTAAACAATGTTAAAATAAATAAATAAATACAAATAAAATAGTTGAGACAAACAGAAGGGAGTCTCGAGAAATGACGCAATCAAAAAAGGTATTCAAAATAATCATTGAAACAGATCATTCAATATGCCAAGATCATTCAATATGTATTCATAAAGTAAGAAGGTCAGGAGATTAAAAAAATATTAGAAAAACAGCTTAAGTTAAAAAATATTTAAAAATTTGTTAAAATTTGTTTATCAAAAAACATTACCTTAATTACTTTTGATAAAATGTTCGGATTTTCAATGGTTTAGCACTCAATCTTAATATTAATAGGGCCTAAATTTAAATATTTTAATTAGTAAATTAATTAATTTAGGAGTTAAGCTGAGTCACGACATTAGACAAGCTTCGAATTAACATATACACATGTATTTTGTATCCTCAAACTATATGACATCAACACACAGAATATTTGCATTATTGTAATATAGTGCAATAGTCATCAAAAAACAGTCGAAAGCTTCGGCCCCTTAATGCTAATTTCCCTTTTTGCGTATTTTGCAATCTTAATGAAGTCATATTTTTAAACATTTATTTCTCAACCTACTCCAAACTCAATGAGCAACTTCCAATTTTAGATTGTGGCATTTAAAATTGCCTAGTTTAAATTGGTGAAAAAATTTGTGTACCTAGCTATTCTAAAAATTTTTAAGCATTAGAAAATTCGATTGTAAAAAAGTAATAAATAATTATAAAGAAGAATATTTTTTTACCTTAAAGGGGTTTTATGATTTTGTCCAATTTTTTTTTATTCACTTCATTAGTTCCGGAGATAATCAAAACACACAAAAAATGTAACTAATATTAAGTGACTAAAATAATAGACGGCTTATTTTGACTGAACAATTGTTACTGAATAGTGAATATTATATTACATATCGCAGATACACCCATATTTTTAAGATCTAGAAATAAAGTTAATCAGGGCATTTTCTTTCATTCTTTATTCATTTATTTTGCTTGATCGACCGCTGGTAAAATTTTTGAAGTTAATTATTTTTTCTCGTTATGTATTTCTTCCAGAGTCTGGGTAGCAATAAAAAATATACCAGACTAAACTGTTGAAAAATATTTTTATTTAGTAATTAAGTTGTAGTAGCTCTTGTATTAAAATAATTTTTTTTTGTTCTCGATCTTTGTTCGTAAATATATATGATTTCGGTTGTTCTATTTTCAGCGAAGAATCCTACCAAGTGATAGAAGATCTAGAAGATGTGCAAAACGAGGCAAGCTTAGGTTTTCATATTAAAATTTTATTTAATATTAAAAACAATTGCTAAAAAGTTTTACCTCATTTGATAAGCATTAACTTAGTTAAATGAGTAATTTGTTTTTTAGAATTCAAATAACCGCTTGTAATTACAGTAATTGTTTACTATATTAATTAAAAGAGAAATACAAATACAATCTATCTATAATATATAAAACGCTAATACGTACGTATGTATGTATCAATAAAACCGATGATATTTCTTTTCTCGCGCTGGCAACAGTTTTCATTTTTAATTGATTGGATTCGGCGCGCAAGAGCACGTAGTGAGCAACCAGATAACAATAACCAGAGTGAGCATTATCAGGTTGTTCAATTCAGATTCATGCACTAAAAACATGACAATATTTAATTTAAACTCAATTAGGAATTAATTAATTAATTGAAGTGAGAATGCTTTAAAAGGCCGCTGTTGAATTGATATTTTTCTACTGGGAGCTACCTAAACGTCTAAAAAACGTTTAAGTGTTTGTATTGAATGCATTGAATTTTTTTATATTTCGCGTTTATTTATGCATTGAATTTTCACGCTTTAAAATGCAGAATATTAGTGAAGCAATATTTGATAATTTATTTTGCTAATATGTTTCTTATTTAGCTAATGTTTTGATTTTTTCACCATGTACAATCTAAATAGCTAATATACTTTTTTAAAAGCCAATAAGAACATTGGTAGAATTCTTCTACATAAGTACAATACTATGTCTTTGATGATAAAATACTATGTCTTTGATGATAATATATTATGTCTTTGTGCTAGAACATTGTGTTCATTGGCGAGCGAGCGCAGCGAGCCATGGTTCACGGCGTGAACCACATAGGATTGCGTAGCATTTCTCGGGGGTTGGCGAGTGTTAGCGAGCAGGGGGCGGCGCCTCCTAGTGTTTTATGAAAAATTAAAAAAGAAATTTTTTTTAAACTTATTTTTCAAGAAGTTAATCGTGCAAAAAAAGAAAAACATGAATAACCTTTGATCGAATGTAAGAATTTTTACAAACTGAGCTACTTCCTTATAGGTTCAAGATATAAACAATATTTTAATGTAAATCTGGCATACAATTGTACTTCCTCTAAATAAATATTTTTTTATGAATTTGGAACTCGCTGAATTTTGCTGTTTGTGCAGCAACCTGGAAAATCTGGTCCAATAGTTTAATAAAGGGAGCAATCGACAGTTTGAACTATTTTTTTTTTCATTTTTGTAATTTTTTTTGTTCTTTTAGTTCGAATTTTACTTCTTTAAACGTACACAGTAAACATTTTAGATTCTATACTATCAAAGACATCGGCTCAGCCTTTAACTTAAATACTGGTATTTTGAGCCATAAGACGAAAAGTTGCTGCAGTTTTAATAAGGTGTTGAATTGGATCAAATTTCTGCTCAAAATGAATTATAATATTGCGCACTTGCTTGTAAAATGTACGACAATATAGTTCAATTTAGCATTTGGTTATGGTTGCAAATAATTTGTAGGATAATATTATTTAACGCTCTACAGTGCATTAAGAATAGTTTACTGAGGTCAGAGTTAGTGCATGGAAATATTTTACAATAGGCAGTAAGGCATAAAACTCATTTTGATTTCATCCAAATTTTATTAGGTTTTTGGCCCTTGGTGCACTTTATTTTGTGTTTTCTTTCTGAATTTCAGCTATTGAATTAAATTTTTATTAACAATATTTTATTTATATGTTTTTTTTCAGGGCAAATGTAATAAACATTCGAAAAATAACAAGCAGCAGAAGCAAAAATCAAACCTAATGTAAGACAGCTAATAATTTTAAACTTTCCAAAATACTCTAAAATTTAAATTTTAGATTAAGAATTTTCAATATGTCGAGAACTTTCTCTGTTAGTAAGAACTTTTTTCAGGAATGTTTAGTAGACGTCTTAGAAAGTATTTTATGCCCGGATGATCGTTCCCTAACCGGTTTGTTTTCCGGCTACGATGTCATTAAGATAGCTGTGGTTTGACAGCGAAACATAATCATTTTCAAAAAGGAAAAAAGAAAACGAGTAACTGTGCTTATGTAGTAGTTTTATTCATATGTTGAAGGAAAGGCTTATAAAAAACTCGGAATCCTAAATAGAACACTTACCTCAAAAATCACATCTACCAACCAATATTTAAATATTTTAAAACTGTTTATAGAGCTCAAATCTCCAAAAAATTTCGTTGAGAATAAGCTGATAAGAAAGATTATTTTGAAAGAAAATTTTTGAAGTCCAATTTTTATTATCTCGGAAAACGTCATTGTAGGTGATAGATTATAGACTACCTGAATACCGGTTGTCCGAACTTGGTAAAAAGGAGTAAATAATTAATAAATCGCTATTTATCAGCAATATAAAATTGCACAAACAACGACAATACGAAAACACGAAAACAACAATACGAAATTGTGCATAAAATACATACCAACACAATTAATAAAACTGAAATAAATTCCTTTTCTTTTCAATTTATTATAATTTGTTGCATTCCCTTTAGTCTCTCGATATTAAATAAAACTCGTTTTCAGTAGTTCATCTTATCAAAATAAAGAATACGGCATTCAGTGTCTTTTGGCATGAGGCTTTTTATTGAGGCCAACTCATCATAGCCGAAATTTAACACAATCATTATTTTTCTCCTATCATCATTTACTTCTTCCTCTTGAATTCGAGGGGCTGTAAAAAACCTCTCTAAATATCATTCGTATTAAGACTGCAGAGTATTAGTTTCATTTAAATAGGCACCAACTGTACTAATACCTATATCAGTATATTAGGTACTTTTTTAAACTGCACTAATTACCATACTACTGATGCTGACTGTTAACAAATTAAATATCGGCGAAAATAATGAAATGATGATTTTTTTTACGTATCACCTAAAAGAATTAGTACCATTTTTATATTAAATTTTCTATTTAGTATGGATTTTATTTTTTCAACTTAATATTAAATAATATTTCTAAAATAAATTAAGCATCATTATGGTTGAAAATAGCATAGCGATTGTTTGTTTCTCCCAAATGAATTAGTAACATTCTTAAATTGATTGCGCTTTTTAGTATGTAGCTTATTTTCAATCAGAACATATTATCAAACTCAATTGAACATCATTTTTTATTTTTTTTTTATTTTTATTTAAACGACTTAAAAATCCTCATGCACCACAAAGTATAGCATGAGGCTTATAGTTGTAAGTAGAAAACAAAAAGAAGAAAAATTTACAAATTTACATTAAAAAGAAAAATTCCTCAAGGCCGCAAGACTTTCAATACTTTTGACCAGTTCTGATAAGACAGGTGGCCAGCAAATAGAAAGACGTCTCAAATCAGTCTTTAAATTCATCCGGGCACTCGCATACAGACTACAATGAAGAAGAATATGTTCAGCATCTTCATCAGCATCACCGCAAGCACAAATTCCACTGGTCTGCAGATGGAAACGAAATAAATATCTCTTAAAATTTCCATGGTNATACTTAATGTATAATCTCTCGATGCGAGAGTATCTGATTTGATCCCTTATGGGGATTTCTTGTTTGTATGTGAATATGGCCATTATCCATCATATTAATTCTGATAAGTAAATAAAATTTTCACTAAACGATTTATATCAATATCCTGAGGATAATCATTTTACTACTTCCATAATCAAGATATTTTAATAAGGCCAAGACAATTCATGATGATCACCTCCACCAAAACTTTCACCACATCAATATTTTTTCTATTGATGTTAAATATCATATTTTTTAACATAAAAAATATTGGTGTTTCTTTTGTTTCTGATCAAAATAAAAATGAAATGAGATATTCAGCAAAAATACTTCAAGACTAATTTTACATCACCAAAAAAAAAAAAAAATTTTTTTTTGAGTGCATAATTTTAAAAATAATTTTCTCATAAGTTAAATTGTCTTATTTTTCAATACAGAAAAATAATTCGAGTGTTTTTTTGGTTTTGGTTAGTAGGAAAATTAAAAGTGATTTTTAATCAAAATACTTAAGATTGTTTTGTAAAAAAAAACTTAATAAAAACAACTTTTTTTTACCACAAATCTTTTCCTCTTGACGTGAATTGTCATATTTTTTAAGATGAAGAAGAAAAAGGGTATTTTTTTTCTTTAGATCACTAAAAAGTACGAAGTTATATTTAGCAAAAATACTTTAATATTTTTTACAGCACAAAGGAACTCTCTTGACCTAAATTTTTTTCTTTGTTAAGCTGTTTTTTATTAATCAGTGAAGAAGTGAAAAGTGCTTTTTAGCCAAGATAGTTAAAGAGGTACGAATTTTATTTATTTACTCTCTCAAAATTTTGTCATGCATGGCTCAAAGTCATGCTTTTTAATGCTAAATATTCAAAAAGGTAGTTTTTTGTTTTTGGTCATTAAAAGAATAAAAAGTGGGGTTTTATTTTTATCATAAAAGTTGAAACATTTTATTACCCAATAACAGTATTTTTTGCGTATTGTTAAATGTCACATTTTTTTCAGAAATTATTAAAATTGTGTTTTTTATTTTCAGTCTTTAAAAATAAAAAGTTGTTTGCAATCCAAAATAACTGAAATTTTGAATAATGCAAATTGACCACATATTTTTTTTCTTATCATTTTCTCAAAAACTTTAATATTTTGTATTGAATCATGAAAAAAAAGTTGCTTTTAGCCAAAATATTCCAAAACAAATTTTAGGCAAAATACCTCTCGAATTGAGGAAAAAACATAATCTTGATTTTTTATTTTAAAAAATAGGACTCGAAAAAATTTAAAATTCTGCGTTTTTATTTAACGTTTTTATTCTACGTTTAAAAAATAACGATAGTGATGGTTTTTATTCAGCTTAAGAAATATTTTTATTTGTTACGTTAAAGTTATAAATCTTATATTGAAAATACGAAAATTAAATCTTGAAAATACGAAAGTAAGCAGAAAAATGTACAGAGAGTACGATAAAGAATGAAGATTTTAACTTTCGATTATAAGTTTGAGAATTACTTTTTAACATACAGAAAAAGAATTTACAAGTCGACCAAGTTTTAGGCCAAAAGAATATAACTTCAAATTTGTCATGGGGGAAGAAATATTAATTCAAGAAGGGAAAAGCACTTGTACAAGATAAAATCAAAATAATGAAAAGCAGAATGTCTGTATACGAAATTTTATATGAAATATTTTAAACGAAACAATTGAATTGCATCCAAAATTACAAAAATGGAAAAGTGGGTACCGTTCATGTGCTAAATCATAGGCACCCATTTTCAAGACTCAGAGACGATTATTCACGTTTGGTTGAGTCTTGAAAATGGCCGCGTATGATCGAGTGGTTGACGCATGTTTACTTTTTCCATCTTTATAATTTTTGTAGCAAATGAAATTTTTGAAGTTTTCAAAACAGCGTTTATGATATTTTTACTTCCAAAAATATTTAGTAATAAGCTGCATCGTCAAAATGTTGAATATTTTTAGTCCCCTGTTTTTAATCATATCGTTTGTTTTACACTCACCAATAATTTTTTTTAGAATTTTTTAGGTTAAAATTTAAAACTTTACGTGCATTTTTTTTCCAGTCACAATATAACTGTGATTATTAATTTGAATGGAATGCCGACCACAACATATTCTTATAGACCAAAAGTTGAGGTAAATATTTTTATTGGTTACTCTATATATGTACTCATATGTCTTTTATGTACTCATAATATATATGTCTACTACTATATATGTCTTTCGAACTATTTATGTCTATATATGAGTTATATATGTCTATATATGTACTATGTATGTCTTTTATGTTATTATGTACTCATAGTACATAAATGTACTACTTTTATACTATTTTTGATGTCTTGAATCTTTTCTGTTCAATCAAGATACCATTAAATTTAGTCATAAAAGTGCTCTGACGTCAAGAAAATATTCCAACAACATGCAGCAATTGATGATTTCTCGCATTCGTGATTACGAACATTTCCATCGTGTTCCTTAAGTTTAAATTTTACTGCGACTTCAGTTTGTCTGATGTAGCAATGGTTACCATGACAACACATATGGTAAATTCCCCAGTGATTACCAAAAATAGAAGGATATCTAAGATACTTAAATTTAAATTTTTTAACAGTCCTAAATTAGACTTTTAAACCAAAATGAGAGAACATATTAGTAATTTTCATTACAAATAGATAAAAAATGGTAAAGCAACAAGTTCTCTGTAAGGTTTAGAAGAAAAGGGTCATTTGGGTCTTGTTAGTCTTGCAATTGCTTTGATTGTAACGGTTAATCTAGATTATAATTCTCCTGAAAAAAAAATCGAAAATAAAAAAGTTATTTAGCCTCTTGCGCAGTTTCTAAGAAATAATTGTTAATATAAGCAATTTGTTTTTGTAGTTGATTTTCTGTAAAACATACTTCATTAATCTTCAAGGAGATTTATCAATCTTATGAAAGTTTCCAAGTTCTTAACAATTATCGCGTCATATCATGTCATTTTATTTTAAAGAAATGGCTTAACAATGGCTTATGACAATGAAATATATTTTTTTAATTTTCTCTAATAAAATAATTTCTTCACTTGAATTCATTTATCGATTTTGTTCAATTAATTACTCAGAATTCTATAAACGCCTTATTAGATACTCTTTTCCCTCAACAAAACTAGACGTCTAAAGATTAGCTCATTTTGGAGGAATCACCTTAAAATCTAGTTTATTAATAATGATAGGAAACTTTTTATAAATATCTTTAAAAAAATGATACAAAAGATGTTGTAATTTAAATACTAAATAATTCTTAATGACTAAATTATATAATAAATAAAATGAAAGGTGTTGATAAAAAGTATGAAAAAATATTATTACTTGTATTTAACTGATACAAAAATATGCTTTTGCTTCCAATTGCGTTTTATTCAATATTAACTATATTGGGCTCTTTATTGTTTTAATATTACATACCCAGATAGTATATTATATAGTAAATTTCATTCCAAAGTGAATTTTTCCTGCCTTCTGTCAGTTTAGGTTAACTGTTCTAAGAAATTACTTAAACCAAAAAAAAATATTCCATAATGAACATTGCTGCATTGTTAGAAATTTCTAGGGAGAAATTGTTAAATTGCAATTTATTTAATTGTTATTTTACCATATTCTAGTCCATATTCTACTATCTTACAAATTACTCAAATAGCCATAAATAAGACGACTTTAAAACTGTTAACTGGGAGCAAAACCGTTCATTAACTGCTTTCACCTAATACGGTTAAGCAACCAGAATTTTATTGTGCCAACTAGGCCTACCTAATGAAGCTGCATAGTTTTATTTCAGATGAGTACATATGATATTAGAGTAGGCTAGTATGTCAATTTTAGACCGACTGAATGGGAGTTCGAGTGCCTGCGCTACATCACAATATTTCCTCCACTCCCTTCAACACATGAAATGCATGCCATGTACTCCCCAATTTATAACCCTTGCCTATTAAAACACGATGCTTTTAATCAGGCATATATGGAAGTATCATTAAGCTGCTTAATACAACAAAGTCTACTATTTTCCATCGCTTACGAACCAATTAAACCACATTAAACTCGCATAAACGGCAGCCCCGTAAAGCTACTAAACTATCTTCAATGTCCAGTTAAATTTCGTTTTACGGTTTTGAAACCATACTACTTTTGAATGGTAAACAACCGTATAGTTTTGTGCATGTTTTTTAACAATACTAGTTATAAACTGTTTCAAAAGGCGTAAATATAAAAAAATGCTCTTTACTGTAAACTTATTAGATGGGAGAGTGACTGAAACTTTGTGGCTGCAATATACTTTTAGAGAATTTCGCAATATCTCGGGAACTTTGAAATGAATTTAAGCCTTTTTGCACAGATTTCTGAAATTTATTTATCCAAAAATAATTCCACTCAAGATTTATTTTTAATATTCTTTAATTATTTTTCATCATTTTTTCATCAGTAGAAACATTTCAGAACTGTACAGTTTTTTTTACATAATTTTAAAGAATGCAATTTAATATGGCAAAATCCAAATGTTAAAAAAGTACTTGAAAAATCAAATTTTAAAATTCGTTTTCTAACGAACTATACTATCGATTTTGCTCAAATTTTGTATAGTATAAAATTTTGTATTAAACTTAATTTTATATTCAGATAAACACAAATTCCATATTAAACTTACATTCTTTAAAAATATGTATAACGATATTATATAAGGAAATTTTACCCTTTATTTTAAAACATAAATTCTGGTGTCTTAAAATGCTGAGTATTTTTTTCTTCGATTATCATTGTGTTTAAGACAACTATAACATTTCGATGATCAAAGCCAATTTGATCATTTGTTGTAGGAATGAAATCTCTGTCAAAAGATAAGCATATGAGTTCAGGACCAGTTCTAACTATAATAAGCAACGTTTGAAACGTATATATTTATATGTATTTTTCAGAATGTGGAGTTTTGGAGTAATATAGGAGGCTACATAGGAATATGGCTTGGGATATCTTTAATTGCTGTGTACGATTTTTTCGATACAATAATTGGTATCCTTTTTCATCTTTATCAGAAGCTTCATGTCAGGGCTAAAAGATTTGTAATACGAATTTTGAACCGTTAAATTTTCTTGGTACAAATAATTGTAAACTTGAAAATCTATCCTGTATAAAAATATGTATTAAATGAATACTTGAATAGTTTTTGAGAGAGTAAATAAAAGTTGCTTCAGACTTTAGAATGCGTTTTGTTTTGTTAATGAACAATTTTCTCTTTCTTCCTTGGCAGAAAAGGTATTTGATGTTTTCAAAATGATACTTTAAAATTTGAGCTTCACTTTCACAGTGTGTTACCATTTTCAATGTATATTTTTAGAATTCTGAAGATTAAAAATGGTACGTTCAGTGCGCAAAGTAAAAAACGGACCACCCTGAATAATTTCTGATCTAATGATCGGATCTTCAAGTTCTAGGAAGAGACTCCAAATATTCTAATTAATTAGTGCAGACGATATTCTAATTCACGAAATCAGACACAAAAACGTACTTTCTATAAATAAACGCACATTATTGTGATGATTTCGAATTTTTGATCCCCAAATTATAAGGGATATCCATAATCTGAGAAACATGATCCCCATTGTTTAGCCAGAAGATCAGTCCAAAGTTTGGACCCCTTAATGTTAATTTTTTCTTTTGCGTGTTTCTCCATATCTCGAGAACTCTTCAAACAAACAGAAAAAGTTTTGCACACAGTTGTAAAATTCATTTATTTAAAAATTCCAAGCAAACTATAACTCTTGGTAAATATTAATTATTCTTCAATATGCTAACTTCAAATGGGGCTGATTTCCATGCTAACCTCAAATATGCTAATCTCTGGGTGACCTCAATAATGCTAATTAATTAATACAGACGATGCTTTTTTACGAAATCAGGCATAACATTGTCCTTTCTCTAAATAAACAAACCCTTTAACGGGTCAAACATTTTTGGCCTCCAGGTGTGCGGTTGAAACTGCGCTGCCAAAATAACTACTTTTAGAGAATTTCGTCAGATCTCGAGAACTTTATACTAAATTAAAGCAATTTTGTAAAGATTTATAAAATTTGTTTATCCAAAGATAATTCCACACAAGATTTTTTTTAAATAATCATTTATTGTTCTTTAATTACTTATTCAATAAAAGTTGAAAAAATTTAGACTTGTAAGGTGTACAGTTTTTTTACATCATTTTAAAGAATGCAATTTTATATTTCAAAATGCAAAGTTTGAGCTAAATTGGTCGAAAAGTCCCATCAAATTTTAAAAAATTTGTTTTCTCAGGAGCTATTCGATCGATTTCGCTTGAATTTTGCAGCATAAAATTTTGTATTAAACTTAATTTTATATTCAAATAAACTCAAATTTTATATTAAACTTACATTCTTTAAAATTGAATGAAATTTCGTAATGAAGGCATGCTTGGGCTAAAAATAGATTGAAGGACAAGAGGTGAATTTAAAAACTGTGAGAAAGTTTTTCGTTTAGAATAATAAATCAAGGAAAGGATTACATTCAATTTCTTATGTTGTTTTCAGTACCAACGAAAGGTAGTGTACGCAACCAAATAATCAAAGTACATTTGAGTTTAACTTTTACTACAATATCAGTATACTTTCTAGAAACGTTCTAAAAAAACAGGGAATATTTTTAACATGATTTTTATAACCGGAAAAGGGTTAATATTGCTATAAAAAGGAAAAATTTATTGATAAACAGAACAAGAAGCTGCTGTCAAAACACAAAATTCATTATGTAAGAATCTTCAGGTCACGACAATATTTATGATGCTAAGTAGGACTTGAATCCAATTTAAATAAAAGCCCAGTTGTTTGGTTGTATTCTGAAAGCTGAAATAATAAAACGAATTCTCAAAACTATAACCGGAATTACTGCCATAAATATTATATCAAAATCCAACAAAATAATAATATCAATAATCTATATATGGATCATTCTCACAAAAACAGTCATTTTCATGTCCCCNCATTACAACTCCCCAAATGGCAGCGCTAGAAAATCGACCAATGATTGCCGCTAAAAATGTCACATGCTAAATTTAGCTCAACATATAGCGCTTTTAAAAACGGAAACGGAAATAACCCGAGAGAGCTGCGGCAATCTCATACTATTTAGTTAGGCAGAAGTGAGTAGTCTTTGTCGATTCGATCTCTATTTTAGTATTTTGTCGAAGGGCTTTTTTTCACGAATCTATATATTACGAATTTATTTGACGATTTTTGACTTATATCACAAATTTATTTGTCCTATTATTGTTATTCATTGTAAAATGAGTCTCAGTCGTGCTGTTACGCTTTAAGATTTTATACTATAGCACATAGACCAACAATCCNACTTGTCATTTATTTGAATTCAAATTTATTTTAAAGACTTAGTATTTACTAAAAAGATGTAATTTTTTTTTTTAAAAAAAAGTTCTTAGAATTTTGTGCATTTGCAATGTACCTAAGTTAGTAGCGAGCGAAGCAAACCATATAAGATCGAGTAGCAATTTTCGGCGGTTGGCGAGCGTCAGCGAGCAGGGGGCGCAGCCCACTAGTAAATATATAATTTCAAAGTAAATATATTACAGAAAAGGAATTGTTGATTATAACTAAGAAAGTAAAATTTTAATACTGGAGGGGTGTTGGAAATTGATCAAAAATTTGAATTTTAGTTTGACGATATTGTGGGTTTGTTTTGCACAGGACGTATGAAAATAATTATATTATTTCGGCAAAAAATATTATATAAATGATTATTAAAAAAATATTATATTAACTAGCGCAGACGATAATTTAAGTTACGAAATGAGGTACAAAATTAAACTTTTTCTGAATAAGCATGCATATTTTTTGACGAATTCAGATTTCTGACCTTTGAAATATATGGAGTAGTCACAATCTGCGAAATATGGTCAGGAAAGCGGCAATTCTTCACTAATTTTAATTATTTTTCTTAAAATTATGGTTGAAAAAAGAAACTTAAAATTGTCAGGAATGCAATTTTTCACTTAATTTTAAAATATTTAATTTTAGATGGAAATATACAAAATTTGAGGAATAGTGTGAAACATCGATTTTTAAGAAAGTGCTATTTCTGAATTTAGATTTCTCAGGGACAATTTGACTCTTTCGTCTTAAATTTATCATTTAAAACTGCATTTTTAAATTGGTTTTAAAAAATGCATACCTTATAATTAAATTTTTTCGACTATAGTGAAACAAACATATAATTATTTTACTAAAATTTTTATTTTGCATAATTTTTGCATAAATTTTTATTTTGCATACATAATACTTGGCCAAAAAGAATTTTATAATTGTGAGCGAAAATTGTTCGATTAACTTAAAAAGTTCCCAAAATATGGCGAAATACACGAAAAGTAAAATGAACATCGCAATTTTTTATCACTCTCCTAACCAAATTATTATGACCATATTTACCAGATTGCGGCTGCTCTCTATATTTATAAATATCAGAAATCCGAAGCTTTGGAAAGAAAAAGTACGTTTATACAGAGAAAGTACGTTTTTGTACCTGATTTCATAATCGTCGCATAAATTAAATAGCATATTTTTTTTTTTTTTTATAACCGACATTTGGCAGCTGACTCAATTTCGGGTTCCATCACAAGGATTCGAACCCGACACATCTTTGGAAGGCGAACGCTCTATCCCCTGAGCCATCGCTGCTCTTACACCCAAATTAGGTCCCCCACGGCTCTAATTAATTATCATATATGAGGTCAGAGTCACGAACCATTAAGAACGTGAAGATTTGATTATTAGATCAAAGGTTATTTAGGGTAGTCCGGTTTCTACTTGAACACTTTACTTCCTTCATTTGTCCATCTAGTAGACAATATTACCTAGGCATTGAAAAATAGCAAAAAGCTTATTTTACGAAAATTATTTGACTTCTAAATAATGGAACCATTTAAATTGTTTTATAGAAACAATGTTGTCTAGAAAAATAAAGCTTTTACCAATTGATAAGCAATATAAATTGCTTTCTATGAAACTACATCCGCTGCGTTATCTTTACAAATATCGAATATATGTTTTAACTGGTCATTTTTTCTCTTTGGCCTTCTAACCTAGACCTACCTTTAATAGAGATGAGTTCCTGTTTTAAATTATAAATTAAAAACAAGTTCTTTCATTTCCTCATAAGATCCGTTCCTTGAATTATCTTTAATACTGCAATTCAGTTAAATTCTTTAACTGCCCAAAAATTCCAGTTACACAATATCTTTCGTTCACGATTTAATCAATGCTACTTATGCAATGATCAAATATGATTTTAGATATATTACATTAGAATTTATTTTATAGAAGGTGAAACAATAAAAAGAAATTGCTGATTTTTATCTAAGCTGCTTTCCTTCATACGTAATAAAATTTATTTACTCCGCAAGTTACGATTTTCTATTAAAAATTCGAAATTAAAATAAATTAAAATATAATAAATAATAAATTTCCAATTATTGTAATTGGTCACCTTGGGTTGGATTACATTCCAGATATTTTTGAGGCAAAACTTTGTTATTCCGAATTTTCGGAGCATGTAGACTTCCACTGAAAAGTAATTATGACGCTTTAGATTGCTTGCGATCGTTATCGAAATGCAATTTCTACGAAATCGATTTAAGCTATTTTTTTTAATCTATTTTTCGTCTTACAGATATAAAATAAGATTTTTGTATTACAAATATAAAATTACAAGACTTTCTCGTATCGGTGTATCAATATAAGAGGAAAGAGTGGGTGATGCTTATTGATTACTTATTTAGTATCTGCACAGTTTAGAAAGCTAAAACTATGACTTTCAATAAGGTAGTTCTCTTACTCGTTTTACTTGCTATCCTAGTCTCTTCACGTAAGTAATTTTTTTTTATAGAAATTTTACTTCCAGTAATTGGTATTATGACCATTTAAACGATCAAATGGTAATTAACTTTTCTGAAACATAAGCAATATGCATAGTGCTCAAAATAAAAAATAAAAAAAGTGAAGCAGATTAATAACTTTTGTACGAATTCATGATAAAAATGGGTTATTCTTCAAAAGGAAATTAATTACACCGTTAGAAATTTTTCGGAAAAATAGCTAAATTACAATTGATTAAATTGTTAGTTTACCATCTTCAACCGAAACA